AAGTCAGAGGCTTTCTGGGACGTCTGAACTATATTTCCCGATTCATCTCACACCTGACTGCTACTTGTGAGCCAATCTTCAAGCTACTAAAGAAAGATCAAGTGGTAATATGGAACGATGAATGTCAGGCCGCTTTCGAAAGGATCAATGAGTATCTCCAAGAGCCACCTATTCTGATGCCTCCAGTTGAAGGGAGACCTTTGATCTTATACTTGACAGTACTCGACAACTCAATGGGGTGCGTGCTGGGGCAGCATGACGAGTCTGGCCGAAAAGAGCATGCTATTTATTACCTTAGCAAAAAATTTACCGACTGCGAGACATGACACTCGTTGCTTGAGAAAACTTGTTGCGCTTTGGCATGGGCTACTCGCCGGTTGAGACTGTATATGCTTACTCACACTACCCTATTGATAACAAAGATGGATCCAATCAAGTATATCTTTGAAAAGCCTGCCTTGTCCGGGAGAATAGCGAGATGGCAGATGATCTTGACTGAGTATGACATTCAATACACAACCCAGAAAGCAATCAAGGGAAGTGTGTTGGCAGATCATTTGGCACATCAGGCAGTGGACAATTACCAGTCTATGAACTTTGAATTCCCGGATGAGAGCATTATGATAGTAATTGACTGTGAGACACCTGGACCGGATGAAGGACCTGAGGAAGGATCCTGATGGTCTATGTACTTTGATGGAGCTTCAAGCGCTTTGGGCAATGGCATTGGCGCCGTGATCATATCTCCTGAAGGCTCTCATACTCCGTTCACCGCCCGACTATGTTTCAATTGCACCAACAACATGGCGGAGTATGAAACGTGCATCATAGGTCTTCGAGCAGCTATTGACCTAAGGATTAAGTTTCTTAGTGTTTTCGGAGATTCCGATCTCGTGATCAGTCAGATCAAAGGCGAGTGGGATACGAAACACCCTAATCTTATTCCTTACAAGGAGTACGTATTGACATTGCTTCCGCATTTCGAGGAGATAACCTTTGAACACTTCCGTAGAGAGGAGAATCAGTTGGTGGATGCGCTAGCTACGATGTCTTCTATGTTCAAGGTCTATTGGGACAACGAAGCTCCCCGAATTACCATTGAAAGGTTGGACGAACCTCACACTGATGTGATATTGAGACTGAAGAGGCAACGAATAAACCCTGGTTTCAAGAGGTGAAGAGGTATCTTGAGGCTCAGGAATACCCCGAGGGTGCATTTGTTAATGATAAGAAGTTTCTGAGAAGGTTCGCAGCGAAGTTCTTCATCAACAATGGCATTCTTTACAAGCGTAACCATGCTTTAACCTTACTGCGATGTGTGGATAAGAGCGAGGCAGAAAGGATCATGGCAGAGTTACATGAAGGTACTTTCGGGACTCATTCCATTGGACACACCATGGCAAAGAGAATCCTTTGGGCAGGATATTATTGGTCTACTATGGAAGCTGACTATTATCAGCATTCTCGGACCTGTCACAAGTGCCAAGTCTATGCTGATAAGGTGCACATACCTCCAGTTCCTCTAAACGTCCTGACAGCTCCGTGGCCTTTTGCAATGTGGGGCATCGACATGATCGGTGAGATCAGACCTATGGCATCTAATGGGCATCGTTTCATCCTGGTAGCTATTGATTACTTTACGAAGTGGGTTTAAGCAGCTTCCTTTGCTACAATAACCAAGAATGTCGTGGCACGGTTCATTCGGCACAATCTGATTTGTCGATATGGTGTACCAAAGAGGATCATTACGGACAATGGTACCAATCTCAACAATAAGATGATCACCGAGCTCTGCAAGCAGTTCAAGATACAGCATCACAACTGTTCTCCTTACCGGCCGAAGATGAATGGGGCTGTAGAAGCGGCTAATAAAAATATCAAGAAGATTGTGCAGAAGATGACGGTGACATACAAAGACTGGCACGAGATGTTACCATTTGCTCTTCATGAGTACCGTACTTCAGCGTGGACATCAACAGGGGAAACACCCTATTCCTTGGTTTATGGCACGGAGGCCGCCTTGCCCATGGAAGTTCAGATACCCTCTCTTCAGATTATGAAGGATGCAAGTTTGAGCGAAGATGACTGGATTCAGACTCGGCTTGATCAGTTGAACTTAATTGACGAAAAGAGACTTACTGCTATTTGTCATGGTCAGACGTATCAAAAGCGGATGATCAAAGCATTTAACAAGAAAGTTAGACGACAAGAGTATCAAGTTGGGGACCTGGTTATCAAACGCATCATACTGCCACAAGGTGATCCCAGGGGAAAATGGTCCCCTACTTACGAAGGGCCATTTGTGGTTAAGAAAATTTTCTCAGGAGGAGCTATGATTCTAACCACCATGGATGGTGATGACCTTCCTCACCCCGTCAATGCAGACATAGTGAAAAGATACTACGCATAATCAAAGACCCGCTAGGTTGACTGACCTAGGCAAAAATAAGGGCTTCCCAGTGAACCAAAAGGGTTCGGGCAAAAATAAGGTATGAAAATGAAAAAATATGTACACCCGGCAAGTCGAAAACCTGAAAAGGCGGCTTGGGCAAAAAAGGGTATCCCGATGGACTGAAAACCCGAAAGGGCAGTCCAGGCAAAAGTTAGGGATTAAAGCGTAACACTATGTCTCATTGGATCACCTTGCGACCAGACTTCGATATCGACTATCAAGCTCGAACGACACTAATCAATCTGATTTACCTTTAACCGAGTAGAAAAGTGATGAGATGCTTGATGACATAAAGGCAATAGCAGAGTTGGAACCCAGTGGGATTATTCACATAGCTGTTTTGTTTAGTTTTTCATAAATTGTGTAAATTCTATCATTCGGCGGCATTCTCTTACTAGGACGTCAGCCTCTCGTACAAAAACTCCTATTTACAGGCCAAAACTTCAAAATCAATACAACTCATTTTCAGAGAAATTTCAAACTGTTTTTCCTTTATCTGTTTTGTTTTGCAAAGAACGTCCAATGTTCATTTTTTATATATGCATTTAACATTAATTGCTGCTCATGAATATTTACATGCGAAACAAAAGACGATTACTCGTAATATCAGAAACAGGAGCAAACGAGAAATTTCCAAATTGTACGGTTGCTCTGTCCACCAGGTACAAAGGTAGACTTAGCTGAAGAATATGGCTGAGGTACTTTCACTCTCCGCAGAGTAAGGAAAGACAGTAATGATAACTCCCCCCAGCTGAGACTTGCAACTGTGAATGAATCGGTAATACTCTCTCCAAGAAGAGTTTATCTACCATCAACACTGAAAGGTCTTAATATTCCCCAACGGAGTATAAGAATATTCCCCGGCAGAGTACAAAATATCCCCAGTGGAGTTTGAAAATTCTCCCCAGCGCAGCCTGAAAAAGCTCCCCAGTAGAGTTGGAGAATCTTCCCCAGTGAAGTTTTGAGGATCATCCCCAGTAGACTTTGGCAGATTGTCCCCAGTAGAGCCTAAAAGGTTATCCCCAGTAAGGTCGCTATTGAAAAAATCATCCCCAACGGAGTTCATTCCTTTCACAAGCAGAAACTTCAATCCCCAACAAGATTCCGTATCACCAGCAACGGTAATTCATCCCCAGTAGAATTTATCAGTGGAATCCTCAGCAGAACATCTCTTCCCCACAGAATAATCTCCTCATCAGTTTATTCCCCAACAGAGTTACCCTCTCTAGCAGGCTTTATTCTCACAGTCATCTTCATTCTCCATCTCCAGCAGAAACGAAGAATTCATTTCTTTTCTCCAGCAGCAATCCGGGATTTATTTTCCCCAGCTCAAAACATCACATCTCATACATCATGACATGCATACGCATCATACAACACAATCTCATTTATTTTGAGAACATCATTGCTTGATACATATCATGCATTACATACAACTAATCTTTACCTTTCAGGAAGGATGCAGTTAAGTTCTCACAAAATTCAAAGTTTTTGAGGCTCTTACCTCAGTCGAATTACTGACAAGTTCTTAAATCTCAACAGAATTATCCTCAGTTGAATTACAGACAAGGTCCTAAATCTCGACAAAGTTCCTCCTTCGAATTACAGACAAGTTCCTAAATCTCAGCAGAGTTTTCTCAGTTGAATTACGGGAGAGTTCTTAAATATCGATGAAGATGTTTCCCCAAGTCAAATTACTGACAAGTTCTTAAATCTCAACAGAATTATCCTCAGTTGAATTACAGACAAGGTCCTAAATCTCGACAAAGTTCCTCCTTCGAATTACAGACGAGTTCCTAAATCTCAGCAGAGTTTCTCAGTTGAATTACGGGCGAGTTCTTAAGTCTCGATGAAGATGTTTCCCTCCAGTCGAATTACTGACAAGTTCTTAAATCTCAACAGAATTATCCTCAGTTGAATTACAGACAAGGTCCTAAATCTCGACAAAGTTCCTCCGTCGAATTACAGACGAGTTCCTAAATCTCAGCAGAGTTTTCTCAGTTGAATTACGGGCGAGTTCTTAAATATCTATGAGGATGATAAGGTTAAATAAGTTTCATATCTAGAATGATGAAGATGTTCAAATAATATTTCACATGTTTTATGTTTTATGGGTACGAAATTAAAAATTTAGAGTCTTAAAAATTTAGAGTCTGTTTGTTTCAGCTTTAAAAAAATGATTTTTTTTTATATTTTTGAAAATAGATTTTCTAAAATTTTTTTGCAAAATGTTACAAGTTTTTCTATATTCGTTTTTTCTAAATTGAAACACTAATTTTGAGATCATATAACATAAACATATATTATTTAAAGACCAACACATAGTCAAAATCGCAATTTTGTAAAAAAAATTGTATTTCAAAAATAATTTTTATGAAAAATTTATTTGAAATAGTTTTAAAATTATGTGATTTTTTGAAATTTTGATACCCAAAAAAATTTTTAATAAAAAGATGAAATACCTAAAATAACATTTTAAAAACAATTATTCAAACCAAATTTTAAATTGAAAGTTTTATAAAAAATTTCTTTATAAAATTTTTTTACACTATGATGAGGTCCCAACAAAGGTGATGTGAGTACTTTGCCTAAGCATTGAAACACCAACAGCCGAACACCGAGCATCGTCAGCTGCAACAACTCCAATTTCTGATTCAACAACTTGTCCCTTACTGTCTGTTCTTCCCTCATTATATCTTTCAGCTCCTTTCAATATCCCGAAATTTACGTCGCCTCTTACTGCTAGCCCAATAACTAGAAAAGAAAAGAATTGCACTTAGCAATAGCATCAAATACAATTTACCAAAATCAACTTTTTCTGATTTCTACTTGAGGAATCACTTGAAATAATTCAAGAGCTTAAACAAACAGCTATAAAAATCAATAGACTTAGCTGTAATTTCATGTTAATTTGGCCTTTCCAACTTCATCAATTGAAATATCTAAATCATTTAAGAACACATAAAAGATAACTAACTTGTGATAGCAACACAGAGAAGAAGGTAACAGAAAAGAATCTTCCTGTTGAATCTATTTGGAGAAACATGATGAGGTCCCAACAAAGGTGATGTGAGTACTTTGCCAAAACCATACAGTAACGCTAGGTTGTTGATGTGAGTACTTTGCCTAATTTTTTTAGTGAATTGGTAGTTCTAATTGCTATGTGCATTTCCAATGATTAAGTGCACAAGAAACTAATGAAACCAAGAAACTTAAGTCATTATATCCAAAATGAAGTTACAAACTTAAAACAAACAAAAAATACTTTACAAATTTCCTACTATTATCAAATGACCATAAAAGAAGTTGTAATTATCTTCAAATTTATACTCAAAGTGTTCTTCAGTAATTTACACAAGAAACTTAATTCCAACAATAATAGCTTCTAGAAAAGCACTGTACATGTATATAATTTTACAATGTAACAATGGCTGGACAAATGAGTTGTAAATTGACATTTTGAATTTTACAAATTTCGATAAGAATTGGTCGATTTTATTTAAACAGCAGCTGGACAACCACCCTTTCTCGGATCACTTACCGCTGTTAGAGTGCCATACTTCACATGTGAGTTGGTGCCTTCACCAAGTTTCCTATGATTGTTAATAGATGTTTTGGGAGTATGAACAATAAGCTGAGTAACAGCTTCAACTTCACATGCTCGCAGTTCATGGCCTCTCTCTTTTAGGAAAAGCCTACTTTCTTCGGAAAGCTCAATATGATCACCATCATAAGCAGTCAAGTTCTCATGCAAAACTGTATCTGGTAATAGCTACATGAGATAAAAACCTCAATTAGATACTAGTTAGGAGAATCATACATAAAGAAACTATTTGAATACAGAGAAGTAAGAACCTTGATATAGATCCTTGGCCGCAGAACCGCATCTAAAGGTTTCATTCCTAAGATGAAATGATTAACAAAGACTTGAGTCACTGCTGGAATAATCCGCATTCCTCCACTTCCTCCAATTACCCCAACCAATTGGTCATCCTACCAAAGCATAGCAAAAGAAAGTTTCATGTGCATCAGACACTGCAGGAGTCATGCTCATTCTTATGAATGTACATCTAACATTAACAATTTATTTCTTGCGCTGTAAGCAATAAGCAATACCTTTGTGATGATAATAGGAGTCATGGAAGACAACGGCCTTTTGTTCGGTTCAATAAAATTTGTTGGTGCAGGAGGTAGTTCACCGGGGGATATATCAGTCGGTATAGAGAAATCATCCATTTCATCATTGATCACAATACCAGTTGACGTTGAACGAATCCCAGCTCCAAAATATTTGTTTACAGTTGTTGTCAGTGATACCGCATTTCTATCAGCATCTACAACACACAAATGGCTTGTTCCATGATCTCTAAGTTGGCTCCACCTGCATACAATTCATATACACTTTTATCAACAACTTGTTAGTTTGCAACATATCGTACTAAAGGTAAAGTTTTCAAGTTTTCATTCAAATCCAAACCACACCTTTCCATATAGTACTCTGGAGGGAAAGTAGTGTTATCAAGTATCCGGCGCTGGATAGTCTGTGCAAAAGACGGCGAAAGCATTTCGGATACAGTTTCATTAATGTTTTCAAATTTGGGGTCCCCCAAGTTCATTCGGATAGCAAACATATGTTTCAAAGCTTCAATTAGTCTATGTATACCTAAATTTCCTTTTGCAGCATCGAGACTTCCATAACTATCCAAGATGTTTAGGACCTGTTCATACTAACTATTAGAACATACAAGCATACAATTGTAGCGTAATTTTGTATCGTCTTTAGATCAAACTCATGAAAGAGATATGAATATACAAACCAGAGAAAGACCAAGTGTTCCACTTGAAGGAGGTGGCATTCCATATATGGTGTATCCCATCACATTCACAACCATTGCATCTGTCATTTCCACCTTGTAATTTCGTAAATCCTCCATTGTTAAAATACCACCAAGTTCTCTAACATCTTTTACTAACTTCTCACCAATGGTTCCATTGTAGAAAGTACGTATCCCTTCCTCTGCCACTATCTCCAAAGTTTGTCCAAGTTCCGCATTTCTACATATCTCACCTTCTCTTAGCAAAACTCCATTAGGCGCGTATATATTTCTTAACCCGGGATCACTCATTATCTTATTTTCAGATGAAGCTATAAAATTACGGAGAGCAGGAGACACTACAAAACCATTTTTCGCAAGTTCTATAGCTGGTTGGAATAACGTCTTCCATGGCAATCTTCCATACTTCAACCACGCCGCATGAAGGCCAGCTAACTCACCTGGAACTCCCATTGACAAGGCACCTAAGTACTTTGCTTCCGGATTATCTTGATACATGTTCTGCTTTGACAGTAAAACATTTACACAAATGTAAGCTTCATTCACTTCAATGATTCAATAGAAACAATTAATCTCAAACCTGTGAGGCAGCAATAGGAGCAGTTTCTCTCATGTCAAAAGCTTGTGCATTAGAGCTAGAAGATGATTTCACAACCATGAAAGAACCACCTCCTATGCCACTTGAAGCCTGTAAAACAACACCAATGCATAACGCAGCAGCCACTGCAGCATCAACAGCATGCCCACCAATCTTAAGCATTGAAACACCAACAGCCGAACACCTAACATCGTCAGTTGCAACAACTCCAATTTCAGATTCAATAACTTGTCCCTTATTGTCTGTTTTTCCATCATTATATCTTTCTGCTCCTTTCAATATCCCAAAATTTATGCCACCTCTTACTGCTAGTCCAATAACTAGAAAAGAAAAAACTTGCACATAGTTTAATTTCACGTTAACTTTGCATATATCCAAATTCATCATGGTGATTTTCTGAATTCATATTCTTTCTTATCCTACAATCAATTATCAACATAAAATATGTTCCCTCCATCATGATAACGGTTATTCATGAAGAAAAAACATCTTTACCTAAAAATAATAATAACATTAAAAGTAGTTGTGGTAAAAAAAAAAAGGAATTGAATAAGAAAAAAGAACTAACCGTTGGAAGCAACAAAGAGGAGAAGGAAATATAGAAAAATCTTCCGATTGGTAGAAACATGGTGATGGAGTTCCAACAAAGGAGAATCCATTATTTGATAACTGAAAATGATAATTGATGAAGATGATGTTTACGATAGAGTAAAGAGTTGTAGTAGCTAACGTTACGATCAGAGGCGGAGGAGTAAGTTGAGGGGGATCAATTGAACCCCTGGATTTGAAATATTTACACTAGTATATTTATTCAATTTTTATTTTGAACCCCTGAAATTTTTTTTTTACATGAATAACCCAAATTGACTCAATTGATTTTCACTGATTCACTTTCTTATTTCTTCTTCTCTCTAAATATTTTCTCTCTCTAAAACTCTTTCACTCAAATATCACGGCGGCGTCACCACTGTTAGTGCGTAAGGCACTTTTAGTGAGGAGAAAAAGAGAGAATAATAAAGAAAATAAAGATTTGTATTATTCCATTGTACAAATAATGATACACACCATGACTATTTATATACAATCTTAATTGGGTTTGGACTAACACAACTGGATTATATTAAATATTAAATCTAATCAAATCTAATCTAATCTAATTTAATATTTCAACACCCCCATAATCCAAGTTGTCGAACATCCTCAAAAATAGTCAATCTGAACTATTCCTAATTTCTTTCTCAAATTCAGGAATCTGTCGATCTTCAATCCTTTGATGAAAATGTCGGTCAAATGTGCTTCACTTGAGCAATCTCTAACTTCAAGTTCACCTTGATTTACTTTTTCCCTTAAGAAGTGAAACCTTGTTTCAATATGTTTACTTCTTCCATGCAGAACTGGATTCTTCGCCAAATTTATGGTTGACTTGTTGTCGATTTGCAATACTAGAGGTTTCTTCACTTCGACAGTCATTTCTTCAAGTACAGATTTGATCCAAATTGCTTGACATGCAGCATAGATCCTGCTATATATTCAGCTTCACACGATGACAATGCCACCACAGGTTGCTTCTTCGAACACCATGAAATTGGGGCACCAAATACTTGAAATAAATATCCAGTTGTGCTTCTTCGATCTTCCTTATCTCCACACCAATCAGCATCTGAAAAACAATTAACTATTGCTTCTTTGTCTTCAGAATCTCGTCAAAATAATATTCCACAATTTATTGAACCCTTCAAATATCGAAGGATTCTTCTTGCAGCCTTCATATGTGACACTCTTTGTTCATCCATATATCTGCTTACTAATCCGACTACGAAACCTATATCAGGTTGACTGTTGCACACATACCTCATAGATCCCACAATTTGCTTGAACAAAGTTGCATCGACTTTGTCTTTCTCTCCATTCTTCTCCAACTTCATATTTGGTTTGACAGGTGAGGATGCAGGATTCGAATCATCTATTCTGAATCTCTTGAGTATCTCTTTGACACACATTCTTTAATGTAGCATCATACCTTGCTTCGACATTTGAAATTCCATGCCTAGAAAATAAGACAATTTTCCTAGATCCGACATTTCAAATTCCTTCGTCATCAGCTCTTTGAACTTCGACAAGTTCTCCAAACTATTTCCAGTTACTAGCAAGTCATTAACATACAAGCAGATGATTGTTATATCTTGTGCTACAACCTGAACATAGACACCATACTCTGATTTGCATTTGACAAATCCTAATTCGACTAAGTATGAGTCGATCTTCTTGTTCCATGCCCTAGGTGCCTGCTTGAGGCCATAGAGCGCTTTGTGCAATCTATATACTTTACTCGCTTCCTTTTGAATCACAAACCCAGGAGGTTGTATGACATAAGCTTCTTCGTCTAAAGGACCATTCAGAAATGATGATTTCACATCTAAATGGAATGTTAACCAGCCTTGGTTGCATGCCAACGCTACTACTAGTCGAATAGTCTCTAATCTTACTACTGGAGCAAATACTTCATAGTAGTCAAGTTCTGCTCTTTGAAGAAAACCTTGAGCTACTAATCTTGCTTTATGTCTTGCTATTGACCCATCTGCATTGTGTTTCAACTTGAACACCCACTTTACTTTGATAGCTTTTGTATGTGTTGGCAATTCGACTAACTCCCATGTGTTGTTTCTTTTGATTGCCTGTAACTCTTCGACCATAGCTAACTTCCACTTGTTAATCTTCAAAGCTTCTCTATAGTTGATTGGTTCAACACCTGCAAGTAAAATAAAATGAACTAATTCTCCATCTGGTGTGATTTCATCATCACCCACCACTTCATAATCATGAAATATTGTTGGAAGAACTCTATTTCTTTGAGGTCTTTGGCTTGTTTTAGCCACAACCTCTTCGACTTTGACTTTGACGGGAGTTTCAGCAACCGCTTCTTCTTCGACTTTGACTAGATTCTCAATAATTCCTTCGACTTCTACTTTATTATTTTCTTCGTCGAAATCAAAGTTCATTAATGATTTGTTAATTGAATTGCTAGAATTCCAATCCCAAATAGAATTTTCATTAATCACAATATCTCGACTCAACACAATCTTCTCATTAAATGGATTGAATAGTCTGTATGCACCCGTTTTATGATATCCTACTAGAATCATATGTTCACTCTTGTCACCAAGCTTCCTTCTCCTTGCATCAGGAACATTCTTGTAACACATAGAGTTAAACACCTTCAAGTGACTTACTGATGGTCGTTTGCCACTCCACACTTCTTCAGGAACCTTAATATCTTAGTAGGACACATATTCAAAATATAAACTGCAGTCGAAACAGCTTCTCCCCATAAAGATTTTGGAAAATTCTTTTGCTTCAGCATGCATCTCACCATATCTAATATGGCTCTATTCTTCTTTCAGCAATTCCATTATGTTGAGGTGTGTAAAGAGAAGTTACCTCATGATCAACACCATGTTTTGCATAGAAATATTCAAACATCTTGCATGTGTATTTGCCACTTCCATCTGTTCGCAGAACTTTGATCTTCTTCTCACTCTGGTTTTCAACAAATATCTTGAATCTCTTAAAGAATTTGAATACTTCGTCCTTTCGTTTGATCACATAGATCCACAACTTTCGACTAAACTCATCGACAAAGGAAATAAAATATTTGTTTCCACCAATTGTATGTTCTTCAAATGGACTACATACATCTGAATGCACCACTTCGAGAATGCAGGATGATCTCATTGACATAGTCGAAACGAAATAATTTCTGGATTGCTTTCCCACTAAACAACCTTCACAAAGTTTTTCAGGTATCTCAAGACTTGGAATACCAGTAACCATATCTTGAGTAATCAGTTGATTAAGTGATTGAAAATTCAAATGCCCAAACCTCAAATGCCACAACCAACTATCCTTGTGGTCGACAACAGTTTTCAAACATTGAACTTCTGTCAAACTGATCATAGTCTTAAATGTCCTATTCTTCGACAATGGAGATTTTAAAACCAAATTATTCTTAGTGTCGAATAATTTCAAAACTCCATCTTTCATGACAACTGATAAACCTTTTTCAACTATTTGTCCAACACTTAACAAGTTGCATTTCATTTCAGGTACATAAAGCACATATTTGATCATAGCTTTCTCTCCATTACTCATTTGAAAGACTATGTTGCCAGTACCTTCTGCTTGTAACGAACTATTATCAGTAAGTTTTACCTTGCTCTTCTTCGACTCATCAAAATCTGCCAACCACTCCTTTTGACCAGTCATGTGGTTCGAGCAGCCTGAGTCGAGAAACCAGATATTGGATTCAACATGGTTATCTGCAACTGCAGTCATAACCATCATACCACCTTCAGAATCATCTGAATCTTGTCGTGCAAGGTTCGCTCCTTCGTCATTGCCTTTCGATCCCTTGTCTTTTCTGTACCAACACTTCTTGGCCAAGTGTCCCCACTTTTCACAGTTATAACACTGCATATCTTTCTTATCTTCTATATCCTTTCGATAGTTTCCTCCTCCCCTTTTCGAGGATTCAAAAGATCTATCTTTGACCTTATTCTTATGGGAATTCGATCAAGACTTCTTGCCATGAGTCTTGTCAAACTTGGCTTTGAATTTGTTGGAACCACCATCTTTTTTCCATGATTGAGCTTGCAGTTCTTATATTGAGTCCTGAACTCCTTTCCTTTCGAAAATCTTCATCTCATGCGCCTCCAATGAACCAACCAAATCTTCCACTTTAGTGGTTTCAAGATTGTTGGATTCTTGAATAGCTACGATAACGTGATCAAAGTGAGAGGTCAAAGTTCTCATTACCTTCTCAACTATCATCATACCAGTAATGGTTTCACCACAACCTTTCATGAGATGGACGAGTTTCTGAACCTTCGACACATATTCTGTAACTTTTTCATCTTCTCCTATCGATAACAACTTATATTATCGACGCAAGGTTTGTAATTTGACAACCTTGACTTTCTCACCTCCTTCGAAATACTTTACCAGAATATCCCATGCCTCCTTCACTATTTCAGCATGAGAGATTCTATCGAAGTTAGCAACATTAACAGTCGTTTGAATGCAATAAGGAGCCTTGTAATCGTTCTTCTTGACTTTGTTGTGGGCTTTTTTATGTTCGTCGATTGCATTTGCAGCCAACGCAGAAACGTCGTCGGTAACCACTTCTAGGGTTTCATGGAAGCCAAATAAGGATCGCATCTGTTTTTTCCATTGGATCCAATTTTTGCCGTCAAGCATTGGAAGAGAATTTGGAATGCCCTTATCACTAGCCATCTTCGTAGCGGTTGATTTACTTGCCCTAGAAAAACGACATCTGACGTGAAATTCTTGAAAACTTGATCAAGAACAATAATCGGAAGCTCTAGATACCAATTTGTTAGTGCGTGAGACACTTTTAGTGAGGAGAGAAAGAGAGAATAATAAAGGAAATAAAGATTTGTATTATTCAATTGTACAAATAATGATATACACTATGACTATTTATATACAACCCTAATTGGGCTTGAACTAACACAACTTGGATTATATTAAATATTAAATCTAATTAAATCTAATCTAATTTAGCTTAATATTTCAACAACCACCCACCACCACCATCAATCCACTCAATTTGTCATGTTCTACGCTTTATTCAAGATTTAAA